GAATACATCTCATACTACTGATTTACTGGTAGTCACGAAAACAATACTTAATTCGAAAAATAAAGTATAGCAGTCATTGTTTTAGAAAATATACATTTGCTTCATCGACATTTCCACCAAAAGAATATGATATGGCAAAAAGGCCTGGCCTTCCTTGAAAATTCACATTTGTCCTTTGACCCAGAAGTCGCTCGTGGCAGTGTAGCCAATCTACCATTCTGCACTGTCGCGGTTCGACTCCCGCTGAGGGTGTTGACAAGACCGATGCGAGGTCGAAAGTGCAGTCCACTCCAGCCGGGATAAAAACAACTTTTGGAAAAGCAAGTATATGTGAGCTAAAATCCTATCATTGTGGAAAAATTCTTCTTCTACCAGTCCTGCATCACCTTACACGAAATTAGGTGAATACGTCTCATACTACTGATTTACTGGTAGTAAAGAAAACAATACTTAATTCGAAAAATAACATCTACTGTCGACCAAGTAGCTGCAGTCTCCCCCGCATCTGTTGTGCTTCTGTTCAGAACGCCAATTATATGACTTTCTGTGCTCTAGCCTCTTGTGTGCCATTCCACATGTGTTGTCGTTCTACTTGTTTTGATTGGGCTCACTGTAGACGCCTCCTCTTCATTTCACATTGTTCCTTTCTCGTCTCGTTGCGATTTATTTTTATAAAATAAAAAATGTTACCTTAATCCAGTCGTTTTCTTTTTGCCGATGCTTAGACGATGTGCAAAGTTTTCGCTGATCATGCCTTCTTCAAGTCTCCTATTCATTAGATTTCTTTTAGGCAGGTGTATCAATGGCCTCTCGGATCCTGCGTTTTCTCGTCTTTTCACCATATCCAGCCAGTCTTTTAGTCGATTTCCACTCGATTTCGTGTGTACACTCCGTGAATTTTGTTCCGCTATTTCCGATCTTTGCGTATCCATTTTTTCGCAGAGTATTTTCTGTTCCTTGATTCGTAGGCTGATTTTTATTCCCATTTCACCACTTTACTTCTGCTCACAGTTGCCATATTTGATGAGATAAACTCACGATCAATCCAGGTTGTCAACTTTTCCTGTTGCCTCGGCAGATTTACGAAGCATATTGTCTTTCCTTTTGTAATCAGCTTGATATTATATTTGCATTTTGGGCTCAGTTCAGATATATGAGATGCATTCACCCAATTTCGTGTAAGGTAATGAAGGACTGGTAGAAAAATAATTTTCCCACAATGATATGAGTTGAGCTGACGTTTCCATTCAATTTCACATAGCCTTGCTTTCGCAAAAGTTGTTCTCATCCAGGGTGGACTGCTAACACTTAATATCATTGTGGGAAAATTCTTTTTCTACCAGTCCTGCATCACCTTACACGAAATTGAGTGAATACATCTCATACTACTGATTTACTGGTAGTCACGAAAACATTACTAAATTCGAAAAATAAAGTATAATATTTTTCGAATTAAGTATTGTTTTTCGTTACTACCAGTAAATCAGTAGTATGAGATGTATTCACACAATTTCGTTTAAGGTGATCAAGGACTGGTAGAAGTAGAATTTTCCCAGAAATGATATGAGTTTGGCTGACGTTTTCATTAAATTTTAACATAGCTTTGCTTTCCTAAAAGTTGTTCTCATTCAGGGTGGACTGCAGTTTCGACCTCGCATCGGTCTTATCAACACCCTCGGTGGGAGTCGAACCGCGACAGTGCAGGACAGTAGCTTGGCACGCTAACCACTGGGCTACACTGCCACGGGCGCCTTTAGGGTCACAAGGCAAATGTGAATTTTCAAGGAAGACCAGGCCTTTTTGCCA